AAGTCGGGGGAACCAGTGCCATAAGCAACTCTCGTAGTGGAGGGAACCAAGTTGCTGGCTTGGGCTGACTGTAGCTCTGCTCGGGCTCTGGCGATTGTCGTACGCCAGGAGGGGGGTCCCCTCGTGCTTGCCACGAATTCGCGACGCCCCCGATGCACTGCTGTGTTTTGTGGGTAGAGCCTACCCCGAGCTAGCCGTACGTACTTGGTTACGGGTGCGAAGACGTGCAACGAGGCCTTCTTTTCGGTACGTGTTGCGCAACGGCCGGGTGGGTACCCACCCACCCAACCCCCCCTGATGCGCCCAGTTGTTCCTCTGCATTCGAGAGAGCTGCAGGTGGGTTACATGGTTGCTTGCCGTTCTATTGGGCGGCTGGCGTCGTAAAAATTTCGGTCTATTGTTGTCTTTGTGTTATTTCTCCTTTGGCAGGGAAGCAACATCGTAGGTATCTACATAGAAAGGTAAACGTACGTAATGTGTACCATATGCTGTAGTGTTTTTTCTTTTATTTTTGTCTTCACTTCAAATCAGCGCTCACCAGCATTAGCGCTGTTGGACTCCAACCCATGGTCACACAGAAGAGCCCCTCTTCTACCCTCCCCTCCTGCGGTACGTTGCCTTGTTTCTCCGTCGGCATGAGCATTGAGATGCGCAGACGAGTGTGTTTTTTCTAGGCGCCTACCACGCCCCGCACCAGTGGAGAGGCTTTGGTATCGGATGGGCGGCTTTTTTTTTTTTCGTCGACGAAGGGGGGCTTGTTTCGGAAGCGCAAACCTTATGCTTGAATATTGAGGACATTTCGTGTTGTTATTTGATTGTTCGTTTTTTTGTTCTTGCCGCGCTCTGAGTTCCGTGGTAGGTAGGGCAACCTACTAGTTTCCCTTCAACCAATACTTGTTTTCCGTGCACGAATTCGGTATCCCGCCTACAGTGCGCGGGTAGTCCCGTACCAGCCAATGCGTGTTTTTCGTTCACCACGTATTCTGTGTTGCGCGTACCGTTAACGGGTAACCCCATGTCAGCCGATGCGTGTTTTCCGTAGACGTATTCCGTGTTCCGCGTACCGTGAACGGGTAGCCCCCGCAGCCAGTACCACCGTGCTTTCCGTACACGTTTTCCTTGTTCCGCGTACCGTGAACGCTTTTTTTTCTGTTGTTTTGGGACGCCGATGCTGTTGATACCCGCCGGGTGTGTATGGAAGTATCAGGGACAATCCAACTTCGCATTTCCGGCACATTGTTTGTTTGTTTGTTCACTTAAGGCATGCCGATACAGTTTTAGGCATGGCCGGCCCGGCCATCTAAGGAGGATATATTGGTCTGTTTCCGAGCTTCGCGGTGGGCGGCAATTATTTATGCTGGGGGGAAAGAGATGGAAACGGATGCTGGCGGGGCGGAAAGCGTTGTAGGCGGCATTCTTCCCCTTTTTTTTTCGTTGCCAACGTTTCTGTCGTCAAAGCAGATCCCCGGGATTCTTTTTTTTTCTCGTCTTCTTTTGTTCCCGATCTCGGTGGCATAAGGTACATATGTGTTGCGTCCCGTCCCCCGCCCCAGCGCGCGCCCCCCGCCGCCATGTGGGCGGTTGCGGCGTGAAAGTTTATGGTGTCGTCGCTCATTTATCGTCGTAAACGTTGGCCCAACAAGACATATACATGTGTGTGTAAATGAGGGAGGGAAGATAAGTCAGAAGGAAGAGCGGTGTGTTGCCTGTGAGACGAGGCTAAGGAGGTGCACGTGTTGGAAAAGATGTTTGGCGGAGGTATGCCCTACTGGGAAGGGCGATAACGTCAACATTTCACACAATAAAGAGGTCTTTGTACCCCCCGGCAGCCCCCCCCCCCCCCCCCCCCCCCCCCCCCCCCCCCCGCCCCCCTCCCCCCCCCCCCCCAAAAAAACCTTTTTTTAAAAACATTTTTCCCCCTTTTTTTTTTTAAAAAAAATTTTTTTTTTTTTTTTTTTTTTTTTTTTTTTTATTTTTTTTTAAATATTTTTTTTTTCCCCCCCCCCTTTTTAATTTTTTTTTTTTTTTTCCTTTATTCCCCTTTTTTTTTAAATTTTTTTAATTTCCCCCCCCCTTTTTTTCCCCTTTTTTTAAATTTTCCTCCTCTCAAATTTTTTTTTTTAAAAAAAAAAACCATTTTTCTTAAATTTTTTTTTTTTTTTTTTTCCCCTTTTTTTTTATTTTTTTTTTTTTTTTTTTCCCCTTAAAA